ATCTCTTAAAAAAAAAAAAAAAGTAAAAAAAAAAACCAACCAAACAACAACAACAACAAAAAAAAACCAGACAAAAAGTCATTTAACATTTTTAGTTTTCAGTGTCTAAATTTTGTTATTTATTTGTTTGTTTATTAATTTTTGAGACAGAGCCTTGCTCTGTCACCCAGCCTGGAGTGCAGTGGGGCAATCTTGGCTCACTGCAGCCTCAACTTCCCAAGCTTAAGCCATCCTTCCCCCAAAATCTCCCAAGGAGCCAAGACTACAGGAGTAAACACCCAGCTAATTTAAAATTTTTTAAGTAGCTTGAGGTTTGGTGGCTCATGCCTGTAATCCCAGCACTTTGGGAGGCCAAGGTGGGTGGATCACGAGGTCAGGAGTTCAAGACCAGCCAGGCCAAGATGGTGAAACCCCATCTCTACTAAAAATATAAAAATTAGCTGGGTGTGGTGGCAGGCACCTGTAATCCCAGCTCTTTGGGAGGCTGAGGCAGAGAATTGCTTGAACCCAGGAGGTGAAGGTTGCAGTGAGCCAAGATAGCACCATTGCACTCCAGCCTGGGTGACAGAGTGACACTCTGTCCCACTCAAAAAAAAAAGTTTTTTTTATGTAACTACAAGTTTTCATTTATCACCCAGGCTGATTTTGAACTCCTGGTCTCAAGTGATCCACCTGCCTCAGTACACAGGGATATCCAGTAGAAAGTAGTTCTCCTTCCTACTGCCATGCCCTCTTACCTCCATGCTCAGAGGCAGCCATTATTGGAGGTGTTTCCTTCCAATGTATTTTTTTTTTTTTTTTTTTGAGACAGAATCTTGCTCTGTCACCAGGCTGGAGTGCAGTGGCATGATCTCAGCTCACCAAAGCTCCTGCCTCGGTTTGGTCACCGTGCCCACCTGATTCCTTCCAATGTATTCTATACATATCTAAATACATATATCTACAGTTATACAAATTCTTATTTTAGGCTGGGCATGGTGACTCATGCCTGTAATTCCAGCACTTTGGAAGGGAGGCAAGTGGATCACCTGAGGTCAGGAGTTCGAGACCAGCCTGGCCAACATGGTGAAACCCCATCTTTTAAAAAAAAATCTTATTTTAAACGTAGATAGGCTGGGCGCGGTGGCTCAAGCCTGTAATCCCAGCACTTTGGGAGGCCGAGGCAGGTGGATCACGAGGTCAAGAGATCGAGACCATCCTGGTCAACATGGTGAAACCCCGTCTCTACTAAAAATACAAAAAATTAGCTGGGCGTGGTGGCGTGTGTCTGTAATCCCAGCTACTCAGGAGGCTGAGGCAGGAGAATTGCCTGAACCCAGGAGGCAGAGGCTGCAGTGAGCAGAGATCGTGCCATTGCACTCCAGCCTGGGTAACAAGAGCAAAACTCCATCTCAAAAATAAAAAAAATAAACATAGACAGACAAATTTCTTTCTTTCTTTCTCTTTCTTTCTTTCTTTCCTTTTTTTTTTTTTTTTTTATGAAGTCTTGTTCTTGTCCCCCAGGCTGGAGTGCAATGGCGTAATCTTGGCTCACTGCAAACTTTACCTCCCGGGTTCAAGGGATTCTCCTGCCTCAGCCTCCTGAGTAGCTGGGGTTACAGGCGCCCACCACCACGCCTGGCTAATTTTCGCATTTTTAGTAGAAATAGGGTTTCTCCATGTTGGCCAGGCTGGTCTCAAACTCGACCTCAGGTGATCCTCCCACCTCAGCCTCTCCAGTGCTGGGATTACAGATGAGAGCCACCATACCTGACTCCTCTTTCTCTTTCTTCTTTTAAAAACAATCTTAACAATGAATCTTGAAGATTATTCCATAGCAGCACATCCTAGGTTTATCTTTTTTTTTTGAGATGGAGTTTTGTTCTTGTTGCCCAGGCTGGAGTGCAATGGCATGATCTCCACTCACTATCACCTCCACCTCCTGAGCAATTTTCCTGCCTCAGCCTCCAAGTAGCTGGGAGTATAGGCGCCCACCACCATGCCTAGCTAATTTTTGTATTTTTAGTAGAGACGGAGTTTCACCATGTTGGCCAGGCTGGTCTTGATCTTCTGACCTCAAGTGATCCGCTCCCTTGGCCTCCCAAAGTGCTGGGGTTTCAAGCGAGAGCAACTGTGTTTGGCCTTTTTTTTTTTTTTTTTTAAATAGAGTCTTACTCTGTTACCCAACCTGGAGTAAAGTGGTGTGATCACAGCTCACTGCAGTGTTAACCTCTCTGGCTCAAGTGATCCTCCTACTTCAGCCTCCCGAGTAGCTGGGACTACAGGTGCAAACCACCCCGCCTCAGCGAATTTTTTGTACTTTTTTGTAGAGAAGAACTTTTGCATCGCCCAGCCTTGTCTCAAATTCCTGAGTGCACGCAGTCCACCTACCTTGGCCTCCAAAGTGATGGGATTTCAGCTGTGAGCCTGACCTATTTTTTTTTTTTTTTCAGGCTAGTCAAGTGAAGGCGTGGGAGTGGAAAAGGAATAAAGACTTCTGTAACTGATCAATTAGTTGTAAATACTACTCTACTCATAGCAGCCTACTTCATTCTTTTAAACAGCTGCATACTATTTATTCCATTTTTGCAAATGGCTGTCCTATTGAAGGATGTTTAGATTGTCTTTTTTGTTTGTTTTGAAACAGAGTTTCTCTCTTGTCTCCCAGGTTGGAGTGCAGTGGCACTACAACCTCTGCCTTCTGGGTTCAAGTGATTCTCTCACCTCAGCCTCCCAAGTAGCTGGGATTACAGGTGCCTGCCACCATACCCAGCTAATTTTTTTTTTTTTCTATTTTTACTAGAAACAGGATTTCACCATGTTGGCCAGGCTTGTCTCAAGCTCCTGACCTCGTGACCCACCTGCCTCGGCCTCCCAAAGTGGCGGAATTACAGGCGCCCAGCCTAAATTGTCTTTTGCTGCAGCAAATCTTTTGCAGCAAATGTCCTTGTGTGAATTTCTCTGGACATGCCAAATTGCCTTGGGAAATACTTTGAAAAGTAAAAAGAACCATTCAAGCACAAGGGCTTTTAAGATTTATTAGGATGATTGTTGTTGTTTTCCTGCAACTTTGTCTTCTCTGCAGCCTTAAACCCCAAGTTCTGACCATGAATGCTCTCTCTAGTGGTCAGGAAAGCTCTCCATCACTTGCTCTAGCTGTTAGAAAAGAGTGTCTCCCGAAACTCTCTGGCTTGGAGTAGACAACATCGTTCAGGTAGATTTGCAGGCTTTAGGCTCAGGCTGTTAAGCCTTGATTATGGCCCGTTTTGGGATGCGGTGCTGAGCTACTGATGCTGGTGTACAGCGGATTAACTGCGGGGGTAGCCAGAGGTGACACTTCTGGGGGTGACTTTGGCTTTCAGAGTAGACTGGATGAGCTGTTTTGCGAGATCAAGCTCCGACCTGTTCTGACCACAAGAGGACAGTAGTGAGCTGCCTAGCGTTTCTGCCAGGCTCAGGAAAGGCCCTTTCTGCACAATGGAGTGTCTGTCTGGAGTAAGGTCCCAGAGGCCCGGGCAGCCAGGTGAATTCTCCTCTTTCTGAAGAAGGAAGGTATGTAAGAGGAAATGTGATCGAATGTGATTTGAGGATGATATAAGAGAAAGTAAAATTAAGGTGGACTCCCCATGAAAACTGCTTCACTTTTTTTCCTCATAAATATAATGTATGCACATTATAAAATATTCAAATAATACATAAAAGTACCAAGAAGAGGCTGGGCGCAGGGGCTCATGTCTGTAATCTCAACACTTTGGGAGGCTGAGGCAGATGGATCATGAGGTCAAGAGATCGAGACCATCCTGGCCAACATAGTGAAACCCCGTCTCTACTAAAAATACAAAAATTAGCTGGACATGGTGGCATGTGCCTGTAGTTCCAGCTACTCAGGAGGCTAGGCAGGAGATCGCTTGAACCTGGGAGGCAAGGTTGCAGTAAGCAGACATCAGGCCATTGCACTCCAGCCTGGACAACAAGAGCAAAACTCCATCTCAAAAAAAAAAAAAAAAAAATACCAAGAAGATGAGAAAGATCTGAAATCTCATGGTCTGAAATAACCACTGTTCACATTTTTGGCAATGGTTTTTTTGGGGGCAATATTTTTGAAACCTGCCTTTGGTACTCGGAAAATGTTGTGGGTATCTTTGTAAACACCTTTAATGAGGCCTCAGGACTTGTACTTGCATAAATGCTTCTTAAGTTTTTCTGCCCAGTAACCCCAGAGGCAGAGAAGATGAATGTTGTGCCAGACAGGTAGTGTGTGAGACTGTGTGTGGGGTCTGGAATGTAAGACAGCAAGAGAAACTTCTTTTTTTTTTGAGACAGAGTTTCACTCTTGTTACCCAGGCTGGAGTGCAATGGCCTGATGTCGGCTCACTGCAACCTCGCCTCCCAGGTTCAAGTGATTCTCCTGCCTAGCCTCCTGAGTAGCTGGGACTACAGGCACGCGCCATCATGTCCGGCTAATTTTTGTATTTTTAGTAGAGACGGGGTTTCACTATGTTGGCCAGGATGGTCTCGATCTCTTGACCTTGTGATCCACCCACCTCAGCCTCCCAAAGTGCTGGGATTACAGGCTTGAGCCACCGCGCCTGGCCAAGAGAAACTTCTTTGAAATGTTGGTCTTTCACCTTAAACATTCAGACAAATTCTGCAGTATACCCCGTAACATTTTGAATTCTGCTCAATGGTTATTTTCATTTAAGAGTATTTTGTTCTGGCTGGGCACAGTGGCTCACGCCTGTAATCCCAGCACTTTGGGAGGCCAAGGTGGGCAGATCACAAGGTTAGGAGTTTGAGACCAGCCTGACCACATGGTGAAACCCCATCTCTACTAAAAATACAAAAATTAGCTGGGCGTGGTGGCGCGTGCCTGTAGTCCCAGCTACTCAGGAGGCTGAGGCAGGAGAATTGCCTGAACCCAGGAGGTGGAGGTTGCGGTGAGCTGAGATTGTGCCATTGCACTCCAGCCTGGGTAACGAGGGAAACTCGGTCTCAAAAAAAAAAAAAAAAAAATTTGTCCTTTCTCCTCCAAATCTTTATAATTGTCTATTATATATAGAACGAATGGAGGATATTCCACTATCTGGCTGTCTCTGGTAATCATAGTGTGAGAAAGGCCCCTTAAGCACAGCCCCTGTGTGCTTCAAGTCCACATTTTCTTCCACAGCAATATTACCCCAGTGAGAGACTTCAATGACTCGAGTCATGCTGGTGATGGTCAGGAAAGGACTGTTGTTCTCATAATGTACTTTAAAAGTATCCTGACTATAGGCAGGGACATCTCTGAAAGGCCCATAATCCAGCAGGTCCTCAGAGCGCGTGGGGTTCCCCAGCTTGGTGTAGCTCTCCACATTTCGGGAGGCAAGCTTCACACGCATGGTTTGTGTCTTCGTTGGATAGGAAGAGTAGAAATAATGGTTCCCCTCAAACACCACAAACTGTTTCTCTGACTGAGTGATCTGGGTTGGATACGGCTGAAGCACATGGGTGTAGACTGTCTCCACAATGACTGAAATCTTGGCCCCAGGATCAAGAGCAACTGGGATCATCATTTAATAAGCAAAACAGAGTGTTGGACATTTAAGTTGCTTCCAGTTTTTCTCTAATGTAAACACTATTACAATGAGCATTCTTATGCATATTTATTTTCTCTTATTTGATTATATCATTAGAATAGAGTTCCAGAATGGGCTCCTTTAAAAACAAAGCTATTTCTTTGCCCCTCAATGATTTTAAAACACTGGTACAAGGCCAGGCATAGTGGCTCATGCCTGCAATTCCAGTACTTTGGGAGGCTGAGGCGGGTGGATCACTTGAGGGCAGGAGTTCGAGACCAGCCTGGCCAACATGGTGAAACCCCATCTCTAATAAATCACAAAAATTAGCCAGGTGTGGTGGCAGGCACCTGCAATCTCAGCTACTCTGGAGACTGAAGTGGGAGAATCCCTTGAACCCAGGGAGGGGTGGAGATTGCAGTGAACTGAGATCCTGCCACTGCCCTCCAGTCTGGGCAACAGAGCAAGACTCTGTCAAAAAAAAAAAAAAAAGGTACAAACGAGATGAAAAAGGTGCTGATGGGGAGAGGGGTTGTCCCTTTAATCCTTCTTTTTTGGTGTCCCAGCTGGGACCAACCACGGGATGCTCTAGGCTTGGACATAGCCCGCCTTCTGTGTTCAGCATACACAGGTGATGTGGAATCTCTGTGCTCAGCACTCTGCTAAGCTCTGATTTCCGCCTTCTGTCATTCAGTCTGGTAAGATAGGCATTATTATTTTTATTTTACAGAGGGCCAAGCCAGTCCAGTGAATCCAGGTGATCTGGCCAAGGTGACACAGCTAACAAATGTATGTTTGGGTGTCGATTCAGGGACCCAGTGTCTGTCAGCCTAGTGAACAAGACTGCTTAGCTGCAGACCTGTTCCTAGGACAGTTGTCTGAAAACCTTTTGGTTACAAGCAAAAACAAAGATCAAAAAGGCACTAGAGCTATTTTAAGTTAAAAAGAAAATAGTGGGAGGATAATGGTGAGATGGAATTATAGAAACCCAGAGAAATCTCACAGAACACAAGAGGAGAAGTAATTAGTCTCGTGAGGAATGAGGAAGCAGCTCTCTCTTTCTGTTTCTTTCTGTCTGGGAAATCATGGCCTCTAGCCTCTGCGTCTATAAGTATGATTTTGTCATTCTCTATCTTGTATCTGTCAAAAAATACAAAAATTAGCCAGGCGCAGTGGTGTGCACCTGTAGTCCCAGATACTTGGGAGGCTGAAGCAGGAAAATCACTTGAACCCGGGAGGTGGAGGTTGCAGTGAGCCAAGCTCATGCTACTGTATCACTCCAGCCTGGGCAACAGAGTGAGACCCTGTCTCAAAACAAAACAAAACAAAACAAACACAGAAAAAAACCTATAAGGAACCTGTCTAGCTCTTTCTATCTCTCAGATCTTTTTCTGTGTTTGCTTCATTCCCAGGTAGGCCTTTTCCTCATAGCTGCCACTAGCAGCTGTATATTGGCTTATGTTCTCATGACTTGGCTTCCTCAGTGGAAAGCAGATTTCCCCTTTCCAATAGTTTCAGCTCTGATTGTCTTTGATTGAGTCATAAGGCCATCCTGAACCTGTCACTAAGGCCAGGGGACAGCTGTCTCTGACTGATGAGCCCTTGGTCAGATGGCTATTCCCAAGCTGAGGTGGGTCAGCCACATTGAATAGGAGAGGGACAGTTCTCCAAAGGACAAATGGAATGCCATTAACAGAGACTCCAGAACCTATGAAACTGTGGATTGAGGTTTGCACCAATAACCTCCAAGGATATGTTAAAGATCACGGTGGAGGGTGAGGAGATGCTTTTCATTCTTGTCTTCCGTACACATTATTGAGTTATTGAGGGTTCTATGTGTACTCAGCACTGCTTGGCTCAGGGGATAAAATAGGGAATCAGATAGGTCCTTGCTCTCATGGAGCTTAACTTCCAAGGAGCATACCAAGTAAATGTTTCTTGAATAACTGCTATGGACAAAACAGTGTTCCAATGCCATTTCTTTCCCTTTGCCCATATAAAGAGAGATAAAATATGGCCTTTCTTTTTTTTTTTTTTTTTTTTTAAGATGGGGTTTCACCATGATGGCCAGGCTGGTCTTGAACTCCTGACCTCAGGTGATCCACCCACCTCGGCTTCCCAAAGTGCTAGGATTACAGGTGTGAGCCAAAATGCGGCCTTTCACTCAAGAAGTTTAAAATATACCAAGGCAGTTAGCATAGTAGTAAATAATAACAGCCTGAGGCTGAGGTGGGAGGATTGCTTGAGCTCAGGAGTTTGAGACCAGCCTGGGCAACATAGTAAGACCCCATCTCTACAAAAAATTTAAAAAAAGTGTGGTAGTGCATGCTGTGGTTCCAGCTACATGGTAGGCTGAGGTGGGAGGGTTGCTTGAGCCCAGGAGGTCAAGCCTTCAATGAGCTGATGTTGTGCCATTGTACTCCAGCCTGGGCAACAGAGTGAAACCTTGCCTAAAAAAATAATGGTAAATGCCTGCAGTTATACAAGTGTTCTGGGAGAGAGGTCTGGAATGAGGAGGAATAACGCACTGCTAATGGCAATAATAAAAGTGGCTGACATTTATTCAGTGCTTACTGGATGCCAGGCACTGTGCTAAGAGCTTTCTGAGTAGCATCCCATTTAATCCTAATAGCAACCTTTTAGGGCCAGGCACAGTGGCTCACACCTGTAATCCCAACACTTTGGGAAGCTGAGGCGGGCCGATCACAAGGTCAGGAGTTTGAGACCATCCTGGCCAACATGGTGAAACCCCATCTCTACTCAAAATACAAAAATTAGCTGGGCATGGTGGTGGGCACCTGTAATCCCAGCTACTCGGGAGGCTGAGGCAGGAGAATCGCTTGAAGCCAGTAGGTGGAGGTTGCAGTGAGCCGAGACCATGCCATTGCACTCCAGCCTGGGTGACTGAGCGAGACTCTGTCTCAAGAAAAAAAGAAAAAGGAAAGAAAAACAACCCTATAATGTAAGTAGCCTATTTTGTAGAGTAAGGAAGGGACTGAGGCTCAGAGAAGTGACTTGCTTAAGAGCACACAGCTGGGGAGCTGCAGACTCAGCCGTTGAACCTTGGTTTGTCTGGCTTCGGCACCCATAACTTTTAGCTGTTACATAATCCTGGGCCTGGAAAGAAGGGCAGGAGGTGTTGGGTGAGGAAATGTGGACATGTAGTGCGTCTAGGGGGGCAAGGAGTCAGCGGGACTAGGCTTTGTTCTTGCTCTGCAGAGGGCCTTCTCTGCTTCTCCATACATGCGGCAGCAAGTGGCTGTCTCCAGCTTTGAGTCCTGTGCCTAAACCTGACTCTCTGGCACCAACTGCAAACTGGCAGCCCTGTAGGCCAAATATGATGTAAAAAAAATATTCTTAGCCTGTGGCATTTACAAAAATGAATTAGTGCCCCAAATTCAAAAATTGGGAAATCTCACACAAAAATCTGGAAAATCAGAATATCTGACAAGTCTGGGCCCATATTCCCATGGCAACCATCTGCTACAGCAGAGATGCAGCTGCTACCTTTAGCTGAGGCACACACTTTCCATTTGCCACAATTGCTGCCATTCCTGTTGTCTCTTACTGAGCTGTTTCACTCATGGTCATTACTGTTGTGACCCCTGGGAGTGTTTGAACCAGAGTCCCTGTGTCCCAGTTTCAGAGTCCCAGGCGATAGTATTCATCCCAGTGTGGGTCAGATGGGCACCTCTGATTCAAAACACTGTGGCAATAGCAGGGCAGGCGTCAGTGAGGTCAGCGAGAGTGTAAGGGCACCTCTTCAGCAAGGTCTGTGGTCTCAGGAAAGGGAATCCACATGGGCAGACACTTGAAAAAGAGTTTAGTACAAAGAGAAAAGAAATTGAGGCTGAGAGTCCCCTTATGAGACATGCAATAATAGGCCCATGTGGTGGCTCACACCTGTTATCCCAGCACTTTGGGAACCTGAGGTAGGAAGATCAGATCAAAACCAGTCTGGGCAACATGGTAAAACCCCATCTCTACAACAAATACAAAAATTAGCCAGGCATAGTGGCATTTGCCTGTAGTCCCAGCTAGTTGGTTTGCTGAGGTGGTAGAATCATCTGGGCCTGGGAAGTCAAGGCTTCAGTGAGCCATGATCAGCCATTGCACTCCAGCCCAGGTGACCGGAGTGAGATCCTGTCTCAAGAAAAACAAAAAACAGGCCAGGTGCAGTGGCTCACACCAGTAGTCCTAGCACTTGGGGAGGCCAAGGAGGGCAGTTCTAGGCTAGCTTGGCCACCATGGTAAAACCTCATCTCTACTAAAAATATAAAAATTAGCCAGGAGTGGTGGTGCACATCTGTACTTCCAGCTACTCAGGTGGTTGAGGCATGAGAATGGCTTGAACCCTGGAGGCAAAGGTTGCAGTGAGCCGAGATCACACCAGTGTACTCCAGTCTGGGCAACAGAGCAAGACTCTGTCTCAAAAAAAAAAAAAAAAAAAAAAAGAAGAAAGAAAAAGAAAAACAACCAAAAAATGTATGAATCCAGGCTTCGGATCATGATGAGGCCCTAAACTGAAGCAGAAACAGTGGAGACAGGCCAGGTGTGGTAGCTCACACCTGTAATCCCAGCACTGTGGAAAACTGAGGCAGGAGGATCACTTGAGCCCAGGGGTTCAAGACCAGCCTGGGCAATATGGTGAAAACCAATCTTTATAAATAATATAAAAATTAGCCGGGAATGGTGGCGAGTACCTGTAGTTCCAGCTACTTGGAGGGCTGAGGTGGGAGGATCATCTGAGCCCAGGAGGTTGAGGCTGCAGTGAGCTGTGATTGCACCACTGCACTCCAGCCTGGGTGACAGAGCAAGACCCTATTTCAAAAAAAAAAAGAAGAAAAGAAAGGAAAAAAGAAACAGTGGATTCAGAGGGGAGAGGGGAGGTTTATTTATAAGCTATTGAGAACATGGTGGTTGGTGGGCTGGGCTGGGCAGGGGCAAAAGAGACATTTGAGCTTCTGGCTTGGGTAACAGGGTAAAAGGTGGTGTCATTCATCAAGATTGGGAACCTAGGAGGAGAAGCAGGTTTGAGGGGAGATAAAGAGTTCAGTTTTGGCCTTGTTGAGCTTGCTGTGCCTGGCAGTGTGCAAGTGGAGCTGTCTGACAAGGCGGGTGGCTCTCTGGGGGAAGATCTGTGGTTCAGATACGTTCTGGGAAGTCACCAGCGAAGAAGCAGAAGTTGAAGGCACAGGCACGGCTTAAATGTAGAAGGGAGCATAAGGGGTAGGAAGGGAAGAGGGCTAAGAGTAGAACCATGAGAAGTGACATTTAAGGGCTGGAGTGTGGCCAGCCACCAAGGAAGAGAGAAGGAGGAGGAGAACCAGGGGTCTGTGGCCTTGCAGAAGCTCAGGAAGGAGAGTTAAGGAAGAAAGTGGTCAGGGCTGGGCATGGGGGCTCATGCCTATAATCCCACCACTTTGGGAGGCTGAGGTAAGAGGATCACTTGAGGCCAGGAGTTTGAGACCAGCCTGGCAACATAGTGAGACTTCATTTCTATTTTAAAAAAATAAATACAAAACTAAAGAGTCCGGGCACCGTGACACATGCCTGTAATCCCAACACTTTGGGAGGCTGAGGCAGGCGGATCACTTGGGGGCAGGAGTCTGAGACCAGCCTGGCCAACGTGGTGCAACCTTGTCTCTAGTAAAAGTACAAAAATTAGCCAGGCATGGTCGTGCGTGCCTGTAATTCCAGCTACTCAAGAAGCTGAGACAGGAGAATTGCTTGAACCCAGTTGGTGGAGGTTGCAGTGAGCCGAGATCTCACCACTGTACTGAGCGACAGAGTGAGACTCCCTCTCAAAAGACAAACAGGCCTGGCACGGTGGCTCATGCCTGTAATCTCAGCACTTTGGGAGGCTGAGGCGGGTGAATCACAAGGTCAGGAGCTCAAGACCAGCCTGGCCAATAATGTTGACACCCCATCTCTACTAAAAATATAAAAATTAGCTGGGCATGGTGGCGCATGTCTGTAGTCCCAGCTACTAAGGAGACTGAGGCAGAAGAATCGCTTGAACCAGGAGGCGGAGGCTGCAGTGAGCCAGGATCTCGCCACTGCACTCCAGCCTGAGTGACAGAGCAAGACTCTGTCTCAAAAAAAAAAAAAAAAAAAAAACATGTAATCTCTTGGGAGGCCAAGGCAGGTGGATCACAAGGTCAGGAGATAGAAACCATCCTGGCCAACATGGTGAACACTGTCTCTACTAAAAATACAAAAAAATTAACTGGGCATGGTGCCTGCAGTCCCAGCTACTGTGGAGGCTGAGGCAGGAGAATTGCTTGAATCCAGGAGGCAGAGATTGCAGAGAGCTGAGATTGCTTCACTGCACTACAGCCTGGGGGACAGAACAAGAATTGGTTTCCAAAAAAAAAAAAAGAAAGAAAGAGAGTGGTCAACAGTTCTGAGTGTTTATAGAAGGCAAGTAGGAAAGGTGTGGGCCTGTAATCCCAGCACTTTGGGAGGCCTAGGCGGGTGGATCACTTGAAGTCAGGAGTTTAAGACCAGCCTGGTCAACATGGTGAAACCCAGTCTCTACTAAATATACAAAATTTAGTTGGGCGTGGCGGCGGTGGGCGCCTGTAATCTCAGCTACTCAGGAGGCTGAGGCAGGAGAATCACTTGAACCTAGGAGGTAGAGGTTACAGTGAGCTGAGATTTTGCCATTGCACTCCAAACTGGGCAATGAGAGTGAAACTTGGTCTCAAAAAAGAAAAAAAAAATTATATTAAAAAAAGAAAGAAAGGCCTGGAAAAAGTCTTTGGATTTGGTGATGAAGAGATCATCAGTGAGTGTGATGAGAGACAGTTCAGTGGCCAGAGAGAAATCAGATGACAGGGACTGGGAAATGAGTGGACAGTGAGCAAGGGAGGAAGGGTTTCACTCTCCTGAGGCCTGGGATTTGGAGGAAAGGAGAGAGTTTGCCCAAAGGCAAAAAGTTTGTGTAAAACAAGACTCCAGGGAAAGGCCTGGCTGCTGTCTAGAGACCTAGGTGTAGCTAAGGCCTCATTCTGGGTTCAGGAGGGCCTGGAAGATGCTGTCTTGTTTGTGAACCTGAAGTGAAAGCTCACGAGCGGGGCCAGCAGAGGGAATTGCCCTGAGAGAGGGCCCCAGCTTTACAGCTGGGTTTTCCCCACTCTGCATCTAGTTTCCTTGATCCACTGATTATCTTGGGCTGGTTTTGGTGAATGACTCAGGAGCTTGAGCAAGCTTTGCTACTCAGTTTCACAGCTCTGGGGGAGGGGAAGTTGGATTCCTTTTCCATAGCTGGGAAACAGTCATTAGATACTGAAGGGAGAAGGACAGTTGGGCCCCAGCTTGGTGGGGCGGGGGGGTGGGGTGGGGTTGGTGAATGCTCTCCAAGCCTTTATTCTTCATAAAAATAACAACATCTAACAGTTGTTGAGTGCTTTTACCATTGCCAGGCAATGTTCTAAGGGCCTACAGGCTTTATCTCTGGGGTGGACAACTCGTTATTATCCTTGTTTGACATAAGGAAGTTGAGAGTTGGGTGAAATGACTTGCCTGGGGCATCCAGCCAGTCACTGGAAGAGCTGAGACTTGACTGCCAAAAGCCCATGTCCTTAACCTCTTAGGACCTCTCTAGGTGACCCAGCAAGGCCTGTGGGAGGGACTAAGGAGGAGCCTCCCAAAAGAAGATCCTAGGCAAATGGCTGGAAAGCAAGTCCTTAAAAAGAAGCTTCTCCCCTGCTAGGATTTCTGCTGAGAAGGTAGGGACAAGATCCCCTGAGCTTGTTCTGAGGCTCCTTATCACCTGAGATCCCCTTCTGTGACTCCCTTCCCCCACCCCAGCTTAAATAAAGGGCCTATTCACAGCCCTCCAGAGCTGTGTCTGGAACTGGGCCCTGGTAGTAGCCAGCGGTTTGTCCTGTGTCATGCCTCCCTCCTCCCTGCCTGCCTTCCTTCCCTGCCCCTCTCTCTGGATTCGACACCTGGTATCTCTTTCCCGTGTCCCTGAGCCTAGGGCACGTGAGGCCCAGGCAGGCACAGTATCACTTTCTTCCTGAACTGTCCCTGAAGCAGGGACAATTTTGTGTGCCGTCTGCCCCCCACGCTGTTGTCAGTGCACACTTCCAAGGGTTCCTGTGGAATCCAGGCTCCCGTAAACACCCAAAGAGGAGGAAGTGAGCCAAGCACTAAGCCTGTGATTGCATCAGACTGACGCACTCTCTGCCTTTTCCCCTACCTCGGTCTCCAGGGGAGCCACGTGTGCAGTCCACTGGGTCAGGCCCAAGCCCTCTCCCCTTCATCCAGCTGAGGGTAAAAGGGAGATGCTGTGAAAGGAACACAGACCTCCAGCTACACCTCCTTGGCCTGGAAGGGAAGTAGCCAACATTTGAAAGCTGAAGAGAAGGCAAAGGTGGGGTGGGCTGAGGAAAGGGTCCCAAAAGTCTGGAAAGTAGTTTCTGGAGTGTCAACCAGGCACCAGGCTCTCTACCTGTAACACTAATAACAATAGGTTGGGTACAGTGGCTCACATCTGTAATTCCAGCAATTAGGGAAGCAGAGGCGAGAGGATGGCTTAAGGCCAGGGGTTTGAGACCAGTCTGGAACGAAAAAAAGAAAGAAATTTAAAAAATAATAACAACAGGCCAGGCACATGGCTTACACCTATAATCCCAACACTTTGGGAGGCCGAGGTGGGAGGATCACAAGGTCAGGAGTTCGAGATCAGCCTGGCCAATATGATGAAACCCTGTCTCTACTAAAAATACAAAAAGTTAGACACATGTGGTGGTATGTACCTGTAATCCCAATTACTCAGGAGGCTGAGGCAGGAGAATTGCTTGAACTTGGGAGATGGAGGTTGCAGTGAGCCAAGGTCGCACCACTGCACTCTAGCTTGGGTGACAGAGTGAGACTCCACCTCAAAACAAACAAACAAACAAAAACAATAATATCTGACTATGAGGCTCTGGATCAGGAATCACATTTCTGTATTTAAAAGCAGCTACCACAGGGGCCAGGTGTGGTGGCTCATGCCTGTAATCCCAGCACTTTGGGAGGCCGAGGTGGGTGGATCACCTGAGATCAGGAGTTTGAGACCAGCCTGGCTGTCATGGTGAAACCAGCCTGCCAACATGGTGAAACCCCATCTCTACCAAAAATACAAAAAATTAGCCAGTGGGGTGGCAGGTGCCTGTAGTCCCAGCTACTCGGGAGGCTGAGGGTGGAGATTTGCTTGAACCTGGGAAGTGGAGGTTGCAGTGAGCCGAGATTGTGCCACTGCACTCCAGCCTGGGTGACAGAGGGAGACTCGGTCTCAAAACAAAACAAACAACAACAAAAAAGCAGCTACCATTTTATTGTATGCTGGTGCTATGTGGTTTACATACATATATACTCTTTTCTAAGTCTAGAAACACCCTTATGAGTTATGATTATGATTATCCTTTTACAAAGTAAGGAAACTGAGACTCAGAGAGGTGAACGTTCAGAATTCTCCCAGTCACTCAGCTGGGCATTGGAGAGTTAGGGTGTGGTGGATTTAGGTCTGTCTGCTCTTTGCTTCACCATTATGTATTAATTGATGTCATTTTCTCAATAAGAGCAATGCAGTTACTATTAGCTTTGATTTACAGATGGGGAAACTGAGGCTTGGGAAAGTGAACAGACTTGCCTGAGGTCAGAGTACAAGTCTCAACACATCTCACCCTTAAGTTTGATGCCCTTATGCTTAGCTTCTATGGGCTAGCCAGAGTGTTTGTAAGAGTCCTTCTCAATGCAGTTGGCTTCACATTTTCCCCGGTCCCCAAGAGGTGACAGAAGCAGCACCTGCCCCAGTGAAGTAACTTCTCATCCTGGCTTCTGATCATCTCCTGAGCCAACTTTCCCCCTGTACTGCTGGCTCTCTGGGGGCAACTCCAGCTCTTCACAGCTATTTCTGGTATTTGCTTGTGCCTGACCCAGAACAGGGGTTGTTTTTGTGTTTGCTTCTTTATTTTTGAGACAGAGTCTCGCCCAGAAGGTGTGCAGGCTGAAAAGCTAAGAGGCTCAGAAGTCCCAGACTTTTGGATGTCATCAATAGTTACAAGTTTTAAAAATGAGGAGGGAGACCCAGATATAGTTGCTAGCTTTTAGTTTGGCTAATAAGAACATTAAAACTTTCACCTGGCTGGGCGCAGTGGCTCACGCCTGTAATCCTAACACTTTGGGAGGCTGAGGCGGTGGATCACGAGGTACGGAGTTTGAGACCAGCCTGGCCAAGATGATGAAACCCCGTCTCTACTGAAAATGCAAAAATTAGCCGGGCGTGGTGGCGGGCACCGCAATCCCAACTACTTGAGAGGCCGAGGCAGACTGGGAGGCAGAGGGACTCCATCTCAAAAAACCCCACAAAATCTTACCCAGGCTGGAGTGCAGTGGCACAATCATAGTGATCATAGCTCACCGCAACCTCCACCTTTCAGGTTCAAGCGAGTCTCATGCCTCAGCCTTCCAAGTAGCTGGAATTACAGGCATGCACCACCACACCCAGCTAATTTTTGTATTTTCAGTAGAGACAGGGTTTCACCATGTTGGCCAGGCTGGTCTCAAACTCCTGGCCTCAAAGGATCCATCTGCCTTGGCCTCCCAAAGTGGGGAGATTACAGACACAAGCCACCAGCCTCCAGGAGTTGTTTGAATGAAAAAAACAAAAAACAAAAAACGGGGGGTATTCCTTGAGGAGCTGAGATTTGAACCTAGGTCTGCTGGGCTCCACCTGAGCCATTTCCACTTCTTCCGCCTGCTGTTGGTCTCCCTCCCCTAGAGATGCCTAGGTGTGCAGGCTGAAAAGCTGGGCAAGGCAGCAAGCAAGTGATTTAGAATCCTTCCCCTCCCCTTCCCTTTCCTTTTCCAGAAGCCAAGGAGAAACATGAAAACTCAAATGTGCCCTGAACCAGTCTCAACCTTGAAGTTAAGGAATGCAAAAGGTGAGGAGTCACCATGGTAACCATAGTGCCAGGTGTGTTGGTGAATACTTGGTTTCTGCAGCATCAGCAGGCAAGGCCTGACCAGTGCCTGTCTGAGGGTTTGTGCTATTTGGCTACAGGGGAGCTGCATTTCATTCATTTCTCTTAATGGGACATTATGGGAGACTTTTGCTTTTCATTGCCTCCATTTTCTTATAAGTGGAAGGGGAGGGAAAAAAAAAAAAAACATTTTCCTTCCCTTCCCACTCATTCAGAGAAATGCCCAAAAAATACCAGCATTCCCATCAGAGGCTCTGCTGCCGCTGGTCATGAAGCCCCATCATCACTTAAATTGCTCTATTTTAAAGGTTTGTGAAAACTGCACCAAATTGATTTTTCCCATATCACTTCTATCTGTTATTTCTGTGGTCTCTCTTCTTCATTGCTACATTTCCCTAGAGCGGGGAAGCAAATCTATATGGAAACTTGAGGTACTCTTATGTGGTTTGGGAACCAAAAAATAAAAGTGTTTTAGAGGCTATTAGATTGTTGTCTTTCTGTTACTTACTCATAGACTTATGTATTTATTTTTACCCTAGGTCTGTTGAAAAGGATTTGGCTCACAGATTCTGAACTTAATTTAGCTTCGGGCCTTAATCACCATTGAGCAGAGAATTTTATAATCACAGGGATGGAAAGAGTCTTAGATGTCATCTGGCTCAGAAGTCCCCAGACTTTTGGATGTCATCAACAGTTAAAAGTTTTAAAAATGAGGAGGGAGACTCAGATATGGTTGCTAGCTTTTAGTTTGGCTAAGTAAGAACATTAAAAAAAACAACTATCATGTGCTACCACCACTGCTTCACAAAAGAAAGCACATTTTAATATGAAAAAAGGTAGGAAGGAATGGCATATCTTCTTAGAATTAAAGACTGTTCCTTAATACATTTAATAAATAATTCACTCCTTTATACATTTTTTTCCCTTTTCCACATGCTAGCACCAGTCTGAGAGTCGATGTTTGAGAACCATTGATCTTGTTTACTATCCCTGCCACTATTTCTTGGAGCTGGTATCTTGGTCTCTGCTTGGATACCTTTTATAGCTGGGGCACTCACTACCTTCCCTCTTTGGATAATTCAAGCTGTTACTTCTTTTTTTTTTTGAGACGAAGTTTCGCTCTTGTTGCCCAGGCTGGAGTGCAATGGCATGATCTTGGCTCACCACAATCTCTGCCTCCTGGGTTCAGGCAATTCTCCTGCCTCAGCCTCCTGAGTAGCTGGGATTACAGGCATGCGCCACCGCGCCCAGCTAATTTTTTGTATTTTTAGTAGAGACGGGGTTTCACCATGTTGACCAGGATGGTCTCGATCTCTTGACCTGGTGATCCACCTGCCTCGGCCTCCCAAAGTGCTGGGATTACAGGCTTGAGCCACCGCGCCTGGCCAAGCTGTTACTTCTTTCTCGTAGTCCTTTCCTTTCCTTTCTTTTCCTTCTTCAGGACGATTAGATGTCCTTTTATGTATCCCCTTATTTCCCCTGCAGTTACTACTTTCTTTTAATTAATTAATTAGTTAATTAATTTATTTCAGAGATGGAGTCTCGCCCTGTCACCCAGGCTGGAGTGCAGTGGTACAATCATAGCTCATTGCAGTCTCCATCTCCTGGACTCAAGCAATCCTCCCACCTCCGCTTCCTAAGTAGCTGAGACCAAGGTGTGAGCCACAGCGCTTCGTTAGTTAGCATTTTTGTAGTACTCATCTCATGATGTTGTAATGGCTGGTTGAGACATCCATCAGTTTCTAAACTGTCATCTTCTTGAGGGCAGGGTCTATGTCTCTTCACTGTTGGATCCGCAGACCTATTATATTGCAGAAGCTCATCAGTTGTTGAGTAAAGGAATGAGCTATTCACTGGATTAATGATATCATGAAACAATGGTAACAATGGCCATGAAATTGATATTTGTTTCATGTGTGCTATATACTAAGCATTTTATGCAAATTTGATCAGGAACAGGCTTTTATGTCAGGACATTTGGAATAAGATGAAAATTATAGTTGATGAAGCATATTGTTTTAAAAGGAAGTTTCTCTGGTAATTTATCCTACAGAATTCCCCTAAAAGTGCTCCAAGATGTATCAAGATATATGTGCAAAAATGTGTGCCACAGTACTGCTTCTAATAGCAAAAAGTTGAAAACAGCCTAGATATTTACCAATAGGGAATCTGTGAAATAAATTATAGTTCAGTTGGCTGGGCACGGTGCTCACACCTGTAATCCCAGCACTTTGGGAGGCTGAGGTAGGCAGATCACGAGGTCAGGAGTTTGAGACCAGCCTGGCCAACATGGTGAAACCCTGTCTCTACTAAAAACACAAAAATTAGCCGGACAGGGTGGCACGCACCTGTATTCCCACCTACTCAGGAGGCTGAGGCAGGAGAATTGCTTGAACTCAGGAGGCAGAGGTTGCAGTGAACCGAGATTGAGCCATTGCACTCCAGCTCTGGGCGAAGCAAGACTCCCTCTTGGAAAAAAAAATTATAGTTCAGTCATACTGTGTAAGTAGTCTTTGAAAAGAACAAGGTAGATCTAAATGTACTGACATGGAAAACTGTCCAAGACATATTGTTAAAGGAAATAATTATATTTCTGTTAAAGACACACATACATATAAACACACAGAAAAATATGAATGTGCAGAAAAAAATCAGGAAGGGCAATATAATCCAAATTGTTCTTTTTTTTTTTTTTTTTTTTAAGAGACAAGTTCTCGCTATGTTGCCCAGGCTGGAGTGCAGTGGCTATTCACAGGCGCGATCCCACTACTGATCAGCACGGGAGTTTTGACCTGCTCCGTTTCCGACCTGGGCCGGTTCACCCCTCCTTAGGCAACCTGGTGGTCCCCCGCTCCCGGAGGTCACCATATTGATGTCGAACTTAGTGTGGACACCCGATCAGCATAGCGCACTACAGCCCAGAACTCCTGGGCTCAAGCGATCCTCCCACCTCAGCCTCCCGAGTAGCTGGGAGTATAGGCACATGCCACCGTGCCCGGCCCAAATTGTTAATAGTGGTTCTTTTTCTGGGTAGCATTGCAGGAGACTTTTGATTTATTAAGCATCCATCTCTGCAATTTAAAAAATGTGTATGAAGCGTGTCTTAATTTTTAGCAGCCGTATTAAAGTATAATTAGGTATCATAAAATGCATATATTATTTTTACAGTGGTGGGGACAGATTTTATTTATTTATTTATTTATTCATTCATTCATTTAAGACAGAGTCTTGCTCTGTTGCCTAGGGTGGAATGCAGTGACATGACCTTGGCTCACTGCAACCTCCAGGTTCAAGCAATTCTCTTGGCTCAGCCTTCCAAGAGGCTGGGATTACAGGCATGTGCCACCATGTCTGGCTGATTTTTGTATTTTTAGTAGAGATAGGGCTTTGCCATGTTAGCCAGGCTGGTCTCCAACTCCTGACCTCAAGAAATCCTCCCACCCCGGTCACCCAAGGTGCTGGGATTACAGACATGAGCCACCATGCCCAGCTAATTTTTGTATTTTTAGTAGAGAAAGGGTTTCACCATCTTGGCCAGGCTGTTCTTGAACTCCTGACCTCATAATCCACCTGCCTCAGCCTCCCAAAGTGCTAGAATTACAGGCGTGTTAAAAAAAAAAAAAAAAAAAAGGCTAACGCCCTTTTCAGTTTTAGCCCACCTGTACCCAGGTGAATAAAAAAAAAAAAAAAAAATTACAGGCATGAGCCACCATACCTGGCCAGAAGGAAAAGTTTCTATGCAAGCACAGTGGCTCATACCTGTAATCCCAGCACTTTGAGAGGCTGAGGAGGACTGCTTGAGCCCAGGAGTTTGAGAAGGAAAGGTTTCTGACATTGAGGCTAATCTCATCTTTTGTCCTTTTGCCTGCTCTTCTGTTTCCTTCCCCATAATGGTTTTCCCCCAGCCCCTTCTCAGACCCTCAATATCTCTGAGTGGTCTAAAAACTCTTTTTCTTTATATGTGCCTATAAAAGGAGGAGTTCCACTAGATGACTGCTAAGGACTTTTCAGATATTAATTGGGGTGAGTTGATAGTCCTAGTCTCTCTCCTACTACAACTTGTTCTTAGGAAGGATTGGGAATCCACTGGGCTTTAAAAAAAAAAAAAAGGAAGGATCTGGTAATTTTTTTTTATACTATTAGTAGAGATGAGGTTTCACCATATTGGCCAGACTGGTTGGTCTCAAACTCATGACCTCTGGTGATCCGCCTGTCTCAGCCTCCCAAAGTGCTGGGATTATATGCATAACCCACCACGCCCAGCCATGATCTGGTAATGTCATTCTTATTACACAAAAATAGTTGATGAGGCCCAGTTTATTTTTCTCTCATGATGTTTGCATTTTAACAAAAGATGAACTATCATTTTTGGCTTCAAACCAAGAAGGAAACCTCCAACTGTGCAGTTTCTACACATATAGGGGGAAGGGATATGTGTGAGTGGGCAGGACAACCTTTTCAGCATCCTTAGGTAAAATGGCACCCACTATGGGTGGAAAAGTCAAAATTCTGGTCATAGCACTTGGCAGAATTAAGAAAACTGTGCCAAGCACTGTGGCATGTGCCTGTAGTCCCAGCTATTAAGGAGGCTGAGGTGGGAGGATCACTTCAAGACCCTGTCTGTAAAAAAAATTAAAAAAAAAAAAAAAGAAAGAAAGCCGTGCACCATTGGGGAAGGAGTCCTCTCACTTTCACATGTGACCTTGATTGCCCCGTTTAAGCTAGTACTTTGAAGTTTCAGTGTGTAGAAACATTATCACTGGTCAGATAGCATATATTAAACATTTATACAGGCACAGATAATCTAAGTCACTCTGTAAGAGGTTGACATAATGAGAAGAGTTCACACTGTTAGACCAACATCCAGAATGTGGTAGACTGTGACCACATTCTTATTAGAAGAGGCAGACACACAGTGGTTGAGGAAGTGGGGCCCTGGAAAAATATTTGCTGGGTTCAAATCCT